AATTACTATTATGTCTACTAAATATATGTATATATTTATAAATTAAAGTTAATGTTATGGTATTTATGTAATTTAAATGTATTTTTAAAAAAAATTTTAGATATAACAAAACTTTGTTGTGGTGTAGTACAGAGGTATGACATATGATTACAAAAAATATTTTATAACGCTTGAAATTTGATATGAAATTAATACCATTGTCTTAATAAACACATAACGTTAGTTTTAATTCCTGTTTTACAGAAAAAATATAATTAATTGTCTCTAAACAAAAACAATCAGATCATCAACTTGTACATTTTTGTATTACATGAACTATAAATTTAGCATAACCAGAATTGAATAAAAGAATGATTCAATATCTCTTAAATTCAAACAGGATATGTATACTTAAGCAATTTAGTAAAATATAGTTATTTTTCATTTATTTAATTTTCTTGGCTTCAGTCCAAAGTGAAAAATCTTTATCGGAATTCTTTATATTAATTCTAAGTTTTAAAATGTCTGAAGATATATATTTAAATATATATGTATTATACCTATTAAAACTCAAATATAACAAAATCCTTAAGTAATAATGAATCAACAAAACTATTTATCACTTGATTTTCTACGAAAGTTCAAGGTCAAATATTCATTTCGGTGTAATGTTTACTCTCCAGTTACACAAAGTTTTGATTAAGTTTCAACTTCGTTATCTAGTTTCATCTTCATCATCTTACATTCACAAACTTTTTGTTTTACAATACATATTAAAAATATTAAAAGGAGATTGATAAATTCAAAGCATTGACACGAATAAATGTCAAAGACGAGTATTATTATTTTTTCTTTAATTTGATACTTAATAGGCTATATCTGATCAAAGTATTAATGATGGTTTTTCATATGTACTAGAAATTGTTGATCGTTTATTTTAATTTAATACGTCACATATGTTTACTAAATTCCATCAAATTAAAAAGCAAAAAAATTCCAGATTTTTTGTAAATCTCAGCGTTTTGAGACTCCCTGAACCAAAAAAGTAAAAAAATTCTGTGAATATGCATTTATATATATGCGAGATTGCGTGCACACTTGCGTGTGTATGTTGTCATCTCTTTCGTTTAATATCTCAGGATGGTGTAAAGATTAAGAAACAAAATTTTGCATGAAAATCTGTACTTAAGAGACATTAATGCTATTAAATTCTGGTGGTTAAAGGTCGAGGGGTGAGAAGATAGAGAGATCATGTGTTACATCTCGAGTGGGGTCGGACTGAATGGAAAGTTTACTTGTTAACGGCATTTACAATTTTTTAAAAATTCATTTCTACCCTCAAAATTAAGCCTTTTGTCTTGTTATAATAATTAATAATATAAAAATTATTTCTAGTAAAATTTTATAACAGATGGCGCAACACTTTTTGACTTTGTGTTAATATCTCTTAGTGTTTCTTGAACATAAAAAAACCCATAACTTTCCCTTCCGGTTTCGCCTAGAAAGTTGTTGGATTTTTTAAATTAGTAATAAGAATTTTTAATAATGACTAAGTAAAGATAAAAATAGATTATGTTTTCATTTTTACTGTTCGTTTTTGTTATTAAATTATTTTATTATCTAGCCCTATCCAAAAAAATCCAATTTTTAGCTTTCAATATAAACTTTGAAATAATAATTTTTAAAATTTAGCCGATAATCAACATATGATAAGAATATAATTTTATAAATTCGGAGAAAGTTTCAAATATTTAAAACAGGATAGACTGGAAGAATTGTATATTAAAATACAATATTTGAAAAAGTTTCTTTAAAACGTTATTTAAACATTTAGTTTTAAATAATATTTATTTATAAATGTCAGAGCTTCGTGTTTAATAGATTCAATTTCACTGTATTCGTTGAATTATATTTCAGTTTATTGTTCTCTTATGACATTTATTCTATACTGTAGCTAGAGGTGAGAAAACAATTTTTAAAAATATTTTTTCTTTACAAATCAGAGGTGTAAGACACACAACTATTGTTTTTTTTTTTTTTTTTTTTTTTTTAATCTAAAAACCGGTAGGTCTACTTATATTTTCTTTGAAATAACTATAACAAATTATTTCATTTTACATGCCCATTTTAAATCGTAAATCAAACGTTTATCACGTTTATCTTGACAAAATACGCAATGCACGAGTTTAACCTATTTCGACGAATTTTGCAACCCTCCCCATATCAATTTTGTCGCACAGATTGCTTATTCTTAAAGTTATGTATTTGAGCATTAGAAGTGTTGAAAACATTTTAGATTACAGAATTTCCAGGGTTGAAAGCAACAATAGGTAAAGTACTTTGAGGTCGAGCATTCATATTAACTTTTTCCGTTTGCTTTGTTCTGTATAGAACGGCAGAACATGAAAATATTAGGGAAAGTGCGAGTATCCCCGGACACGAACTACTGAGACTGAGTCGAAGAGTAAGCAGGCTGTCTGCTTACTCTTCGACTCAGTCCTTGTGAAGCGGAAATAGAAGGTTGGGGTGGGTTGTGGTGGATAGTAAAGGAGGGGCGATAGCTGATAGGAAAGGTGTGAAGGGAAGTTGGTAGGATGGGATCCCATTGGTGCCTTTCGTCGGCATTTATTGAAAAAACAAGACAACATACATTATACAAGTACAATATACAATATACATAACAGAGTCCAATCCGGATGGATAGTATATGCTCGGGATTCATAGAATCATCTGGTTGCTACATAGGATAATCTGGTTTTACATACCCGTACGATGCGATAGACAAGATTATATACAAACAGAATCCAATTTGGACAGCTGACATGTGGGCGGTATACATAGCAGAACCGTTTTACATATGCTTATGATGAGAGATACCAGTACAGCAGAGGCCGCCTTAAACGATAAGGGGCCTAGAACCAAATACCGAGATCACAAAGCATACAACATATGTCAAAACAATGCATGTTAACAGATGAAGAGGTGCACCTCATGACATCAAGACACTCCGTTGGACACGAACTACTGAGCAATCAAGCACATATATATATATATAAAGGAGTGTATCCAAACGTGTTCCAAACGCATACAAAAGAATACAAATAAATACAGTAATAACATGAGCAAGTTACATATTACAGTGAGCTTTGTATCCGTCAACAATTTTTATCCACCCATATCAAACTTCAAAGAAGAATATGACACAAAACATATTTCGACTCGATTTATTGATTACGTTATTGACAATTAAACATATTTTATGATTATAATAGTATTTATTTGATTCTATTTATAATTTAATTACTATTAATGAAACCATGAAATCTAAGCAGTCGGGTAGCCCCAGACTGAGTCTGTTGAGTACCCTCGGATTTTGAATTTAACAAATAGAAAATAATTTTTTGCAATTAGGCTATCTTTATCCTAGGCTGTGTATTAAAATGTACTTCTTTATTCTTGTATTAACATAAAAAATACCAAAATTTAAGGGCAGAACCAGTAAAATAGGCAAATGAAACAAAAATAAAATGAAACGAGCAATTATTTATTGTGATATGGCCACAATGCCGGGCTGCAGTTATTAATCTTATTTTTAATTTATTTAATTTAAAGTACTGTATATGCTCTCCAATTAGTAGTGGCTTGCCCCTGTACATAACACATTTCCTTTAACAGTAGAGTTGTGCCGGTCATCTAGTTAACACTTTTCAGTGGAAGTTTTTGAATTAAAATAACGTGACTTCTGGCTTTCATCGGAAGTTCGTATATAGTTAATCGGAGCCTTCTACCCCTAAGTTTCTATATCTGATTTTGGATTTTATCTTTCTAACTCCGTTCTCGAGATTAAGGAAAGACAAACGGACGGACGGACAGTCCGAATTTATAGACCTACAATTTTTTTCAAATTGCAGCCTAAGAAGCAATTAAATGTGTCAGAGAAGGCAAGTTATCAATAAGACGAGCAGCCGAGAGTTAATAAAGATAAGAAAATGGCAGGTAAAGATTTTTTACAGCTTTAAGAAAAAATATCCAGCATTGTTCTAAGAACTCCGTAATCGACAAGCATTGCACGAGCTGTTGGGTTTAAAAGGCTTTAAAAATGTCCTGTCGAGGGGTTGCAGCTTATGCACAGTGTGTAGCGGCGTACTTAGCATACGAATGTGATTCTTACGAGCATACTTTATTACTGTCCACTCTGTGATTAGCACCCTGATCTAATGATTGAGAGATTTTCATTTGTTGAATACAGATACTGTTTGAAATAATGCAACCACTGCAAAAATATATCCCCTTCATCCACCCATTCTCCTGTGGAATTGTGATACTCTCTGATAAAACTTTAATCGTCAAAAGACTACTTTTGTCTATTTTTTTCGTGGAAAGATGAAAAGAGGAAATATAAAATGACTAGTAACACTCGTGACAAACATTAATATGTTATTTCGCCCTATTTCTCCGGAAGTTAATTTGCCGACTTGTTTCGTTTCTTTTGTGAAAATGATTCATTTTTGTGTACATTTGATACCCGCCGTTTGATCAGCATTGTAAATTCGAGAGCTAGGAAATTCATATTTTTCTATCAGTTAAGCTTGTCATAAAAACTGTCAACTGGTGCCTTATTAAATCTGCGTTTGCTTTGACAAGTGACAGTATGAATGAGAAGAAATCCTAGGGCTAAGATTACTGATTGTGACATGCTGCACTTGTAGATTTCTTTTTCGCTAAAGCAGCTAGACTCGGAATAGTCCAAAACAGATTTAAGTGCATAAGAATTTATCCTTTTATTTGTGCCATTTTCGGGAGATTTAAACTTTTTAAGTTTTGATGACCGATATCGAGCATGAACCAGCCTTGACGGAAAATAATGTCAATAGGCCAGCTTTCAGCCGTGTCACACAGCCTATATCTGAACTAGCACCTTCAACTAGTACAACTGATTTGTTGAAATAGTTGTGACGTCTTCCGGGTGGATATAGAAAGCGCCACGTGAGCGCTCACAAAAAACAGAAAAGTGCGATTTTGATATCATCTCCATATAAAATAACATTAGAAAAGAAAAAGAAGGCTCGAATGGTAAAAAAAAACTAAAACAAAACTATATGCTCAAAGTCTTTTCTGTGAAGTTCATGATCAAGAAATAGAATGCCTCATTTGCGGAGAAATTTTTGAAGCACACTGGATTCAATGCCATAAATGTAAAGATTGGGCTCACGAAGCTTGCGTTGACATTGATCCATCAAATAATAATTATTATTGTGACGTTTGCAAGGCTAAAAACGCTTAGGTCATGTTTCTGTTTTTTATTAATATGATAATTTTATTATTAATATGTTTAATATAATTATGATTAAACGTGTAACATTCTAAAACTTATTTTGAGTTTGAAAATAAACGCTTTGGTTTGTCATTTTATATCTTTTGTGTGTTTAATTTAAATGTCCAGGACTACACGCACTTCCCCTATGTTTCTGCACATAAGTATTATTTTAAATGAAGTAACGATTAATTTATCATTTAATATTTATTGTTTATTGCTTATTTGTAAATCTCTTAAAAATACAAATGAGTAATTCGTACGGTTTTCTGAAGGTATCTGTATAACTTATGTGACCCACTAGATCATGATATCCTTCCTCATTAAAAAATTCTTCCTCGTTAAAAATGCACAAAAGACATCTAGACATAAGCTTAAGTGTGTAACTTTAATATTTTTTTCTAAATATATATTTATTATGTACAGAAAGATATACATAAAATAAATAAGGTACGTGGTTCTATTGTGTTCTAGTTCCTAATATTGTATGACCTGTTTCCAATATCATGTTAGTTCTCATTCAAAGTGAACAAAAAGCATCATCTGTATTTAAACTTTACATGTAGAAGAAACAAATAAGTCTTCACAATGGTTTTTCTAACACCACATGAACAATGTTATTCCACCGTTAACATTGCTGTTCCCGTGATGTTAGAAGGACCTTTGGGAAGATCTTCTTTCTTCTGCATGCCAATTTTAAATAAATATATCGTTTAGGTGTTTTTAATAGCATCATCCGTACTTTCCTGAAGTTGAACTTACAAGTTGATTGATTAAAAGTTTTGGTTTCGGTTTCGATCTTTTATAGCCAATCATGCAAATTTAGCTTTTTTCCCATGCTATACATAGCTTTTATAATGTTCATATAGTCCAGTAAAAAAAAGGAAATCTAATTTATTAGAAAAGAACAGATTCTAATATTTAATGTTAATCTAGTTATATATATGAACAGATATAGCTAAATTATAAATATTTATATATAAATAGCCAATCATAATATGTTTAGCTTTTTTAAACAAAGATCGCGGGCTTTGAAGCTTGGTCTGGGATGATGTCATGAAAGTGAGTTGGCAACAATATTTGTAGCTATTCAGCATAATTTTGTAATTTTTGACGGTTTGGATTTTTTCCAGTGACACTAATGGCACGTAGTTGTACGAACGACTAATGCTTTGAATTTTCTTTTTCGTAAGTCAAGTTTGTTAGAAAAAAGAGTCAAAGCTTAGATAAGCCGTAATAGGAACACGTTCACTACCTTAAAAAAAAAAAAATGTGTATTCAGGTATCCCTCGTACAACACAGCATTTCTGCAACTTGGTTTCGTTCTAACACACGGTTCGAAAATTGGAGAAATTCCCGTACAAAACGGTTTCACTCTAACAAGGAGAAATTGAAATCATCTGTACAAAATTAACAATTTTTAAGTGTAAACTCCGTTATTCGATATATTTTTCTTAAATTTAAGTGAGCATGAGTGTTGTCTCAAATATATCTATGGATTTTAGATTATTTAAATTGGACGAATGGCACAAAACGAACTGAGAAATTCGTTTTGTGCCTTTCTTCCAATTTACTTTAATGAAAATTGATAATGCAATTTTTTATTCCTTGACCTAGCTTTCCTATCAACTAGGTGTCGTTGTCGTTACTTTCTGACTTTAACCTTTAAGATTGTCACTATGTTTTGTTTTTTTATAGATTAATTTTCGTATTTAGTAAAGTTTATTTAAACATTTTTCGGTAAGTGTTATTAAACTTTTTTCAACCGTAGGTAAGTAATCATTTGTAAAAATGACGAACGAAATATAGCACTTGAACTGTTGTCAACTCGAACAATTCGGTATACGAACACAAATTCTGAGGAAAAACTCGCTCAGTACTCGACTGAATAAATGCAATTCTCTAGAACAAATTTTCGATTAATAACATATTTTTATTTCTATTTTGTCATCCATATAAAAATTTTTATTATAAAAATAAAAGAGATGAAGACGTTGCTTATATTTCTGATCAAGATCAACATAAAGGCTCAGAAGATGACAATGCTTTGTAAAAAGAAAACGCCTTCGTTTAACTAAAATTAATATTAACGCGTAATACAGTAGTTTTAATTGTGATTGTTAGTTAATTATTGATTGGAAATAAATTATTGATTGCTTTAATAAATATATTTCTCTTAGTAACGAAAAATAATAGTAAAGGAAAAGGTGGTATTATGGAACCCCATTTTCATTTTAGTGAATTGTAAACAAGATATCATAACTACACGCACATTTTTTGTGCGAAAAGTACTAGTAACTATTAAACTAAATGTTCCTAATTGGATTTTTCGCTAGTGTAACTATAAGTATGGCTTTTGAAGGCTTCTCTACAAAAAGTCAGAAAGTAGGCTTAGGGAAAACCGGGTGGTAATATGGAACCTTACTGTATGTTTTCAAAAAATGCTTTAATGTATCCAAAAACAAATAGGAAAGTACAAAAAATGTTAAATAATTACAAAATGATTTACTCCAATGTATTTTATCGCAAAAATGCTTTTATAATAGAAATATAGGGGAGACCGGGGCAAGATCGGCATGTTAAGCTTTACTTAAATTTTGTGTAATAAATACTGCTGTAAACTGAAAAAAAGCTTTGCATATTGTCTATTGGAATGTTACCTTACTGTAGAACTGGTTAAAATCAATTTGGAAATAAAAATAATTAAAATAATTACAACTTTACAAGAAGAGAGAAATTGACGAAGTTGCCCCGGGTATAGGGGCAAGATCGGCAACTTCTCTCTTTTTGTAAAGTTGTAATTATTTTAATTATTTTTATTAAAGTTGCCCCTGGTATAGGGGCAACAGTAATGGGGCAAGATAGGCACGTATATAAAATTATGTTATTAACAATGTATAAGTTGGAATTCACTATTAAAACAAAGAAATACAAATCCAACACCCATTTAATATTATTACAACGAAATGCAAGTTCAAAGACATATATACATGAATAACAAATGCAAACATGTTTTCATTTATCATCTGTTTGATTTTTATCCTTTGCTTCTAATGTGGCTTTATGTTGCCGATCTTACCCCGCTAGTCATGATTTCGAAACATTAAGTACAACCCTGAGAACAGAATGCCAAGCCACGATCTGGCCACGTGAATAAGTTGAAGTTACATCCTTCTAACAGGAAAAGTAACTTTCGTTATCATGGAATTATAACAAAACCTGCCAATTCAATATAAATGGAAAAAAAATATTATATGGAATTGAACGAAAATGAAAATTTGCTTGATAATTCAACTACGCTTGTTGGAGAACAATAAAAACACTACACTCAACAAGCCACCAATAAAACTCAACTGCCTAACCTATAACCAAAGTCTCCTTTTAATTTGTTTTTAAAAAAAAGCGCTTGACAAACTTGCCCCGCATGCCGAAGTTGCCCCGGTCTCCCCTACGACCTCCATCAACAATATATATTCCAGCAGCTCTTTTTTGATATTCTCAGGAAGAATTGGCTTTCTACCTAGTGTCTTTTTCAAAAATTGCTCCGGACGAATGTCTGCTTGCAAAGAGAGAGTTCGTAGGAGTTGTGTTCTATATTAAAAGCACCAATGAAATCGCCATCTTGAATTAACTTATGTCTGTCAAGACCAAACTTTAAAAAACGTAAACATCACACAGATTAATATGTACAGTACCCATAAGTCTCTGGAACGGAATACATGCACCAGTGAACATAAAACAACACGATTTATATTTTAGAAATAATTAAATTCACTTAGCATTCAAAACTTTCGAATTTCGAAAAACACAAATATGCTAATTCACTACGGACAACCGTTTAACTGAAATGAAACAGGTTTTCCCCTTGCTATGGATGTCTGCCTAGTTCAGTTCAGCCACAATCCGCTACAGTTCGCCTTTATTATCAGTTCGAAATGGAGTGGTTCCATAATACCACCTTTTTCTCTATACTTTTGTTAACTTTTGAAACCTAACACCATGTCCTTTAAGGACTAATAGTGTTAGTCCTTTAAAGGACTAACACTATTAGTCCTTTGTTTCATATAACACGGATTCGCATAACACGGCGCTTTTTACCGTGTTATACGAGGGATACCTGTACTTGTATATACTGTATACAATAATCATTTAGTCCCGAGTACAGTAAGGAATACTTTAACATTAAGCTGTTTTGAATTTTTAACTTTATCTTGAGAATACTGTATTTACTTTCAATCGTCACACTTAGAAGAATCATGGAAGAATGAAACAGTTAAGGATTGTAATAAGTAAAGGATACCACATAGACATTTGAAAATGAACAAGATTTTGAAAAATAAATTATCTTTAAGTACTTGACAACATAACATTTCTTTTAAAACTACCAAAAATTATACACATCAATTGTTATTTATGATATACTGTAAAGCAACATGCACTTTGGTCCGTTCTGCGTCGGCTCTAGAGCAGAGCGGAACACTGATATTTTTATTACTTAAAATAACCCATGATAAAATTTCATTGTTCTACAGTTTATTTTACTTTATGTAAATATTATTTGTCAAAATTAGTTATATTTACTTGAAAAATTTAAAATATTAAGCAAATTTTTAAAATTAACTAAAATTCCCAAACGAGAACAGCATCTTCATCGTCACTACTATTCCAGCACATGAATCCTGGACCCTTTGAGGCAGTTCTTGTCAAACGACCCGTCCTTCAAGCAGGTTTCAGCATATAGTTGCTAATTCACAGTGGCTGCGATGTAGGATTTCTTATGAAATTGGACAAAAAAGTATAGGGAGTTTTGTTCTGCCCTAGGTTCTATTCTACCTGATTTTCCTTATATTATAATCAACTAAAGTTTTCTTCATTATGAATATTATATGAACTTGAAGTTCTCGCTTTCTCTGTTCATTTACTGTCATATAACTAAAATATCGTAGTAAAATTAATTTTTATTATATTGGGTATATAGAAGAACACAACTTAATAGACTAAGCCAGGGGTGGCCAACCTTTTGCATACCATGCGCCAATTTTTTGATAGACGAGTTCAGATGCGCAGTGGCGTACCGTGGGTGTTAGCCGCCCGGGGCGGAGAAAAATTTCGGCCACCCTTTAATCAGGTATTTCAATTTAAAAGATCAAAATTCAGTTGTGTGAAAAAAAAATTAATAAAAAATGCGGTGGTGGTGTAGTTACCCGTACAAAATAGTCCCATTTGACATTAGTGGCATACACGATTGCGAATGTATCGTGAATCGTAGAAGCAAAAAAAAAAAAAAGGTCAACAGGTGTAGCAGTCCAACCGACTCGTGGACTGTCCGGACGGTAGCACTGTCATTTAGACGCCTATGCACTGATCGAAAATAAACATACATGCATACACTGTAATTTACTATGTGGAGAACACTCATTTTATCTGTAAAGTTGATTGCAACGAATTGTGCAACAAATGAACTTGCCAAGACAGACTATAAAAAATTAATTTTCTATGTAATATTCTTAATTGCAAAGAAGCCAAATCTGGCAATGTTGCTCAGAACTGACTAAAGCGCCACTTGTAATCGTCCAATGCGCCAAGTTTGGCGCATGCGCCACGGTTTGGCCACCCCTGGACTAAGCGAACGAATCCAAAATAAATTTAAGCTATTTTTCTGTTTTTTTGTATTATTTTTATTTAATATTTCTCAAGTGGAAGGGTTAAGCCCTCAAATTCCCTAAGTGCACAGTTTTGTCTACGCAAATTATATTCATATGACTATGATTATTGTTGGTGGGTATCATAACGCTCTCCTAGGGACATTCCAGATGTGTCTAGACTTTTGTTTATATAACTACATTCTTGTAATTCATACCTCATCCCCCTTCATTTTTTTGGTATGTGTAGTATATACAACTTGTTAGATTAAACTCTGTGTTCTAACCAAGCAGTTGCTTTTTCACTTTACTTCACTGTCACACCCTGCATTTGTCACAACAATTATTTATTTTATTCATTGCAATTAAAAAATTATTTGTCAAATGTGAATCATGTGAATACAATACTCTATTATACCTTTAATACAGTATTATATTCACGTGATTAAATTCATTAATTTTAAAAATAATTTTAAAAAACCAATGTAAGATTAATCAAAAATTCGAATACGATATTTAAGTTCGAGTGTCATTTTATTCACAATAAAACAGTTTACCAAACTGGTGAAATATAAACCAAAGTTAATTACACAGTGGACAATTATATTCTATAAACAATAAATTATTTTTACATATTTATTAACCTAAAATATTAAAACGGTTGCATTACATCTGCATGTTACATCATAATCTTTTGTATTTTTCAGTTATCAATCTCGTAAATCAAGATAACGTCTGTTGACTTTTTCTTTGCCTTAAATTTTATTTAAAAAGAATATGGCAGAAGAGATCGAGAAGTTTAAAATATCGAGATTATTCAAAAGAAAAAAGAAAGAACACGAAGAAAATGCTGATCAAAACAAAAACGTGAACGCATTTTTTAATAAAAATGGACATATTACAAGATTTTTAAATCGATTTAAGAAAATTAAGAAACATAACACGGATGATGAAAAGTATTTAGTGAAAGAAGAAGAAATTGAAATATACATAACCTCCGATCCTGCTGAAGAAAAGGCTGCAAAAAAGCTAGCCAAGAAAGAAAAACGAAAAAAGGTAATATAATTAATTATATTCTTTTCACTTTTTAAATTCAATTTGGTTGATTTAAGCAAATCTTTATCGTTATATAAATTTCATATCTTTAATTTAATATTATAGTAATAACTGAATTTTAATTATTTATAATTTTGAACAGTAGTTGTTATTACAATAAAAAGATTTCCAAATATTCCTGTTAATCCAATGCATTAATATTAAAGATTAAATTACCAGTGTCGAATTATTTTTAAAAGTTTCATTTTACATGAGTATCTGATAAAGTGAAGAATAAGAAATCTTTTCAATAGATTACCTCTTATTTTTCCTTAAAACTGAAATATAAATCGACAAATAAATAAATTCTAATAAGAAATATGTGTACTCATAAACATTTTAATAATTGAAGGGCTTCCTGGTAAAAGGTGTTAACCCTCTCGTTCTATATTTTGAGATAATTGTGTATGAAAGTTTGCTTAAATCTCTAAATAGGAAATGCGTGTTTATGATTTTGTTTTCCATTCCATGTTATTAGCACACTCTTTGGCTATTAGTTTGTAGCGTTAAATTTTCGGTTTCTATCACTGTCTACAATAATGACAAGAATGTGTAACACAGTATCAGCTGATTGTGGAATAGCACCATATTGACTCTTGTGTTAGGAAAGCCTATAAGTAGGTGATTATAGGGCATTGTTATTATTTCATAGTTTTGAATAACAACACGTACAAAGCTATTTGTTATTGTTTTTTGATGCGGTGTACAAAGGTAACAGTGAGACGTACTGACTAAAGTTTAAACCAAATTTTTCACAAGCAATTTATAATTATAATAAAATCACAAGAACATTACTTATACTCTGCAAAAGAAAAGCAAAATAGTCCGAAAAAAATCAAAAACGTATTAAGTACGAATCAGATTGACCTGAGCACAGTATTAATTAATAAACAATCATATGGCTGAGAGTAAAGCCTTTCAAGACTTGGCTCGTACTTAGATTATAAAAATATTGTTATATTGAGGATTAAGTACTACACTTACCACTTTAAACTCTAATCTTGCCTCCTTTATAATAATTAAATAAAAATTAGGAAATAGCTAAATTCGAGATGAAACAAGCTAGATTTATATCACTTATCTGATTGCCCAAATCTCAAATCTATGGGCAAACAAAACGATCTAGATTTAGATGAGAAAAATAGATTTTAAAGTGACAATCCTGCCTAATATATGGTATAGACTTCAATGTTTTGACTTAAAGTAAAATGGCGGTCGTTACCCGTAGTTGTCACCGAGAGCGCTGTATCTAAGATCACAGCCATTCTATGTAGCATATTCTAGCTCGTTGACTTTACTCATCATAATCTTTGTCCACGTTGAGGTTGCCAGCTAGGTAATAACTTCTGTAAAATCAGCAAAGTTACTTGAGATTTTACGTTAGACATAAACCGTATGCAATTAATGGCAAGTTCGCACTTGTAATTTGTATATACAGTATAAATTATACAGAATAAATATGTCTGAAATTATATTTTTAGGACAAAGATTTTAAGTTTTCATTTTTAAAATTTAATTACTCTTACTTTTACAAAAACAAAAACAAATGTTCAATGAATTATATTCGCTTTATGTTTCAGTGAAAATATTTGCATAAAAGTTTTATCCAAATAAGCATGTATTTTTTTAAAATAGGAATTTTCAGACTGCATCTATACCTTACACACGATATTACTATATAAAATTATTTTAAAAAGTATTTAAGTACAGCTCCATACTCGATTTTATTCCAATTTCAGAGGAAAATAAATGGTGACATTAAATTGAAGTTTCACAGTATAAGCACACTCAGCGGCGCCCACAGAATATAAAAATGGGAGGGGACACAAGTTATAAAAAAGAGCATCCTACATTGTTCAGGAAGCTTGTGTTTTTATATGCTTGCTTGACTTAATATACCTATTTAAACTTTGTTTATGACTATATTTTAAACCACATTCACTACATTCCATTGTATTTAACGTAAAACGAGTTTCTCGACGTTGGCAGTATGATAAACAATAATAAACGCGCTAGTTTTACTCTTCGGATCGGGCGAAAAAGCTGACGTTGTATATGTGCCACGCTGCAGAATAAATTGACATTAATGCTCGCTCAGGGTCTAGACCAGGGGTAGCGAATCTATGGCACACGTCCATAGGTTCGCTACCCCTGTGTGGCATGTAAGTTAAAATTATCTGGCACGTAACGTATCATACCATTTTGATTTATAATCTGTCTTTTTCAATCATTTTTTCGGTTTATTACCCAATCATTTTTTTCAATCAGTTTTTTTTACATTTATTCTAATTAAAGCCGAATTCTAATTAAAACCTAAAACTTTGTCACGCATAAACATCTTTAAAGCTAAGTATGCTTACAATATGACACGCCAAAGAGGTTCGCATCCCTGGTCTAGACGTTTCTATTGCAATCGGAGTTTACTTGGCCTTGCTTGGATAAAAGAAACTAACGAGAGATATATGTCTATTGTCTCATGCAACTTCGTCGTATGTTTATCAAAACTTGGCTTTGAAACTATAAACATTAGTTTCTTTTATATTTGTAGAATAGAATTGAAGTCATGAATCTTCTGTTGTTTGTTGATAATAAAACAAACAAACAAACAAAAATTTGGGAATCCCTTGGAATTAGAAAAAGGGTAAGCCAGACGAAAAGGGAGGGAGGGTACGTGCTCCAAGTGCTCCAATGTACGGGTGCCCCTGTGTACTCTATACATCTACACGCAATAGATCTATATTTTNAACTTAATGATTTATACAGATTTATTAAAATTTTTAATAAAATTCTCTAGATGAAAACCTTTAGGCTAAAAATAGAAATCAATTTGATAAAGTTAGCAAGAAGAAATAATGCTAAAAGAAATTTTCAAATTTAATTCACACCCGAATTTAGACTGAGTCTGTAACAGAAAGGAACAAACTGATATTATGTGTCTTATCGTGAGAAAAATTCAGTAACTTACCATCACTAAATTAATGATGGTCGAATAGTAACTACTCCATTATGACCATTAGTTCCAATGATCCGAAGTAAGAAATACTTTTTCCAAAAATATTCGTGAAAGTTTACCCTCAGAATCAACACAACCAGAATAAGAAATAAATTTTGATTATTGTTTGCTATTGTGTATGTAATGTGATTAACTATTATACTTGTATTTAATTACAAAATTTAATAATTCAAAAAGATGTAAAGACGTAAAACGAAACTCATTTTATGTTAATTTAACTTATTTCTAATATCGTACTTAAGTATCTATTAATGAAAGGAATTAGAAGTTAAAACTTTTAAACCCTTTTACTCACTGGGCAGAAACGTTAGTGTGACACTTTCTATCTTTCTTCGATAGGGTATTAATACGGAGTGTTCAACACAAATAGGCTCTATACTCCGAGTAGCTTGTTTTTAATCGCTAGGAGACAGAAGAGCCGGCCTTATAGATTGGCGGTGGAAACAATGTCTTCCGGGAGGACTTTTTATGGGAAACTGACCCCTAGTTAGACATCATCGACGTGGAGAAAACCCGGAAAATTCCATGCTGCCAGCCCGTCCGAGCGAGGCGCGAACCCACGACCGAACTCCCAGTGTTCAGAGACTAGTCCACTCGGTCACTTGTAGGCTGTGTGTGTGTGTGTGTGACACGATTTTATTCATCTTCTTTGAAGCTTAATTAATAACTCCTGTTCTTTTTGTCGAAAATTTCTTTTGGCTTTATTCAATTAAGGCAACGCGACAAATGGGCGATCTGTCGAGGGAAACATTTTTCCCTCGACAGATCTTTTATGGAAAACTGGCCTCTATTTAGATGTTACAAACGTAAAGAAAACCCAAAAAACTCCACGTGACCAGCCAATAAATTCATATATTTAAGTCGTATGATAGGCAATGATAATCAGTCAAGACAATATAAAAGACAGAATTGTTAAAACAACAGTACAGTACTTCGAAATATAATCTAAGCATTTCTGGATAATAAGATATCAAGTTGCGAATATGATTTATAGATATTTTATATATAGTATACGTATACTTGAAACACAGTGATAAAAAGTCTGAATTTCTATTCATAAATTTAGTAACTTTTAAAATATTGATTGTTTATTATGTTAAATATTTTTATTGAAGACACGTTTTATTTCAAAGTAATAATCAACCATTGCAAATACTTTGAAATACATATTAAAGTACAGTTATGAAAGCAAACGTCTTTCTTCAATCAGCAATATTCAGAAAAGTAAATTATTTTATCACTCTGCAATCATAAAGTGTATCCTAACTGAATGTTTATAAAGTTCCTTGGATCGCCATTCGCTTTTTACTAAGAATCTGAGTTTTTAATCGTTTTAAATAGAAATGCCTTAACTTTTAGAATAATTATATTTAGATTTGATTATTGTGTTCTATTAATTTTTCCAAGTCTGATGTCACAAATTCACAAATTTTCTCTGTACTGTAGGTTACACAATTAAGATCGTTTTTTTTTAGTTTATTTATTTATTTTTCGATGCCAATAAACTTGTACTATTAATTTCGTTATTTTTACTTATATATTTTTATTTTCAAATACGTTTTAATAATTGTTTATTTTTTAACAGAGAATGAAGAAAATTCGTAAAGTTGCACTGAGATCCTGCCATTATATCGGAATGGGTGTTGCTAGTATGGCTCCACCAGTCATTTATCAATCGCCGACTCTAGAAAATAATTATGATTACGATGATTACAGATATTGTAATTATAGATATACCGCCAATTCATCTCATTGGACAACGGGGATTGTTTTTGCTAATTGGTAGCAAATTCTAATTTAAGTATTAAAAATTTTTATTATCGTCTACTTAATTACTTGTATCAATATATTGTAACACTTACATAGAAAAAAATGTAATAATAGCAAAATTTTTTATAGTTCTTTTTAATATTTATAGGTAAGCTCGAACGGTTTAATATTGACCATTTTTGAATAGTAAATCTTATGTTTAGAACTGATAAATATATAATCTTGTGTTTTAATGTTGTCCACATTTATAAATTTGTATAAATATATAAATATAAAATTTTTTTAAATATTTTGATGCCTGTAAAAAGAAATTAAATGTATGTATTTTTATCATTGAAATAAAATGCAGTTATGACTTTTAACGCTGTTCAGTTTTTACACCATCCAGATGCAACATATAAAAAGTATGTAAAGATTTCGATATTGAAATGTATCAGATATAATTTATTCAAAAAATAATAATAAATACGTAATATAAAATCAATTACATAATTTTTTGTATTTTGTATTGTTTAGAACTTAATGATTTATACAGATTTATTAAAATTTTAATAAAATTCTCTAGATGAAAACCTTTAGGCTAAAAATAGAAATCAATTTGATAAAGTTAGCAAGAAGAAATAATGCTAAAAGAAATTTTCAAATTTAATTCACACCCGAATTTAGACTGAGTCTGTAACAGAAAGGAACAAACTGATATTATGTGTCTTATCGTGAGAAAAATTCAGTAACTTACCATCACCAAATTAATGATGGTCGAATAGTAACTACTCCATTATGACCATTAGTTCCAATGATCCGAAGTAAGAAATACTTTTTCCAAAAATATTCGTGAAAGTTTACCCTCAGAATCAACACAACCAGAATAAGAAATAAATTTTGATTATTGTTTGCTATTGTGTATGTAATGTGATTAACTATTATACTTGTATTTAATTACAAAATTTAATAATTCAAAAAGATGTAAAGACGTAAAACGAAACTCATTTTATGTTAATTTAACTTATTTCTAATATCGTACTTAAGTATCTATTAATGAAAGGAATTAGAAGTTAAAACTTTTAAACCCTTTTACTCACTGGGCAGAAACGGTATAGAATATCTAGGCATAATCATTATGAATTCAATCAAACTCACTTGGTGATGACTGAATGATGAAGGACTGAACCTGAAATCTCCAGATTAACATTAAAAAATTCCTGAGAATGACAATCCGGACTAAAAAATGGGTTTTTCAGAAAAAAAAAGAATATCTTTTAATCATCTGGGCTGTCAATTTTACAATCATAAAAGATTACTACTGTATATATGTTAAAAAATACAGAAAACAAGTAAATTGTCATTTCCAAAATTAGGAAATTTCTTCTAATATCCCAAGTTTAAAATCAAACAAAACAAAACAGAAGAAATAAAATCTCGTTAAATGAATTAAAAAATAAATTAAAACAATTAAATTCAAACAGTAAAAGCTTATCTGAGGCATTAGACAAAGTCAAAAACAGTCTACAACAACAAACTAATATATCGTCATGGTCAACAACAGAATAGTTTGAGGCTAACGCTTTATCCTTTAGTCGTATGACTAATAAAACGTCTGTGATTATAAAAGCCACAACAGAAATACAGTCAATTACAATAGGTATAACACTATAGTCATATCCAAAAAATAAGCGTAATATTAATTTGGCCTATATCTCAGAATCTACCGATCAGAATAGCATGAAATTTAATTAACATACAAGCAGAATATGGTATTATTTATGCAACGAAACAATTAAAATGCAAAAATTTTATCTAAATTACGCTCAGTGGCGTAGCTGGGAGCACCCCTAAACGGGTGACACCCGACCATGAAAAAAATAAAAACTTAAACAAACCATCACAATGTTTTTCAACGATAAATCACTTAGGCTTGAAGCCATTTTAACCAAATTATCTGGAATAAAAAAGGCGCGAAATTCAACCGCCATCTTGGTGTGCTCATTTCGTTCCTCGATTTCAGTGATTTTAAGTAACTTTTTCCTGCGACTTTCGTCGACTTTACTGCAGTTCCTTATTCTTTAGCTTCTGGTCTTCCTCTTCGGTTTTTTTCTCTACCCAGGTAGGAATTTTCCTTTTTCTTTCAGCCGGAGTGGCTTCTTCTCCGGACTTGGTTATGGCGTCGCCCTCGCGCGAACGCCTTCAGCAGTCACCGTCGGGATCGGAAGTACTCATAACTTCTGACGAATTAAGATTTATTTCTCCAGTGACGGATTAAGATTAGTGATGTAACGAATATTCGGTTACTATTCGGTATTCGGCCTATTCGGCCTATTTTTCACTATTCGGCCAAATACCGAATATCTAATCACTATTCGGCCGAATACCGAATACCTAAAAATAGGAGTAATAAATAACAAAAACACAGTAAATTAATCGTTTTGGTATTTAGATTTAATGTTATCGGGTTGGCGTTGTTTGTTTATATTTATTTATAACTTGTAACATGCACAAAATAAAAAAGAAAATAATATTAGTCACTTGTATTCACAATTTATAATTACAAAGATCAGCACACGTACACGTCTATCGTTGGCAAATCCTCGCACATCTGAGGGTCACATGCCTATCCTTTTTAAGCGCTCGTCTTTGCCCTTCCTTTTCTCTTTTCTCTATCGCTCTAATCCATGTATGACTGTGCATACATCAAAATACGCGCTCACGATACTTTCGATTCGTCACTTTTCCGTCGTAGAGTTCCCATTTTACAATTACGTGACTCAGCCTGGTGATAACGGAGAAAAGAGACAGATAGGACGTCGATATAAGTCACAGTTATGATTTCACAGATTCCAGACAGATAGGACGTCAGTATAAGTCACAGTTATGATTTCACAGATTCGAGACAGCTTGNCTAAACTTCGCCGCCACCCGCCCAACACCCCAAGCGTAATGTCTAACTCCTCAAGCAACTTGAAAAATCTCCGCTTGATACACTGGAACGCGAGAGGTCTTCGTTCTAAACGTGATCTCCTTTTGGCGGCGTCTTGGCTACGTACCATGGACATCCTCCTGGTACAGGAGACGTGGCTAACTCCTGAAGTGGTCTTTTCCATTCCAGGATTCACTCTCTTCCATCATGATTGCACCTCTGCTCAGGGTGGGGTTTCATAACAGCGGTCTCTCACCGGTGGCCCGCCCGCCAGTTGTTCCCTGGTCCTAAGATCACAGGCACCGAATATCAAGAGATCTTGGTATATTTTTCACGGGCTCCTCTCTCCCTTGTTAATGTTTATTCGCCACATGGCGTCCTTTCGACTCTTTCACTGGACCCCCTTTTGCGGGGCAACCATCACCCTCGCATAGTGTGCGGGGACTGGAACGCTCATCATCCTTATTGGGATAACCACCCAACAAGGATGATGAGCAAACGCCCAGATATCGTGGGCCGCACCCTCTTCGATTGGTTCTCATCCGCGAACTTATGCTGTTGAACTCAGGGGAACCAACTTATTTCCACCCAAACGGATCATCAGCTATAGACCTGACCTTCTGCTGCTCGGGCTTATTAGGTTCCGCCTTGTGGAGCCTTTGCGTGGACACCTTAACCAGTGACCACGCTCCTGTTTCAATCACTCTATCTTTCTCGGGCACCCCTAACCTAACGACTACCCCTCGTTTACACTTTTCAACAAACTGGAGTTTGTTGAAAAGTGTAAACGAGTGTATTCCAATAATCTTGATCAGCTTTGGACCACCGAGGAATCGATTCCCACCTTGTATAACGCCTTTGTAGAAACTATTCGTGAGACGGTTTCCTCTAATACTATAATCCACTCCATTCCCTCCTTGGGTCAACCACTGTGGTATGCAGCCGCCTTAGAGCACTTAAACGTCATGCGTTTCTCCTAGCCTGCAGGAGGGGGTCTCACTCCTGGTGGGATAAATATAAACAATTAGAACCGGAAGACCCGTCAGGCTCGTCGGGAGTGGTGGGGTCGTTTGTGTGCCTCTCCCCCTCTCCATCCACATTCTATCTCATCTTCCGTCGACTGAGATCCTCGCCGGCGATCACGGCCACCCAACACATAATCCAAACGACAGACTACCTACTCAGTCCCATCCAGCAGGTGGAAGCCTTTGCATCTTTCTTTGGGCGTACCCGCCCAAGGGGCACTTTTGCTCCTCTTGATGATCCCCGGCTGGGGCCCCAAAGTTTGACGATTTCCCCTTTCATCTCCTCGAACTCCGCCGGGCCATACACCGTCTTTGAAACACTACACCGGGCCCAGATGGCGTAAGCGCACACGCCTTACTAACCCTCCCAAATGTGGGCTTCTCGGCCCTCCTCAACCTCTTAAACGACCTCTGGACCTCATGGTCCTGCCCCCCAGACTGGACCTCTTCTACCGTTGTTCTGATCATTAAACCGGGTCGCCCAGCGACAATATGCGCCTCTTATAGGCCGATCTCTCTTACCTCTCACGTCGCAAAACTATTCGAAAGACTAATCCTGTATCGAATCCATAAATGGACTTTTCATTCTGATATCTTCCATCAACACCACTTTGGCTTTCTCCCCTACCGAGGGGTAGAAGAAGAGGCCCTTATAACCAACATAATTGACCTAGTGGTTATAATTGACCACCATATAGCCGTGGCCCGTGCATGAAGGGACTTGGTGTATCTAGTCGCACTCGACCTAGAAGGGGCATATGACTCTGTGTGCCAAGAAGGACTCCTAGCTAAATTAGAATTTTTCGGTATGGGAGGGAGAGTCTTGTCCTGGCTTAAATCGTTCCTACTACATTGTTCTTTTCGCGTCCGTTGGCGCGGAACGCTATCACCTCCTCACGCCTTTATCCAAGGTGTCCCGCAGGGGAGCGTTCTCGCTCCCATTCTATTTACATTATACATGGCGGACCATTGGACTGTCTTCCCCCACAATGTCACTGCCGTCCTTTACGCGGACGATTTATACATTCTCACCTCTAGTATCAGGCCTTCTCAAGCAGCTCGCAATGCTCAATTAGCCCTGGATCCACCTTGAACATTGGGCTGCCACATGGAGTTTATCCTTTTCCGCCACTAAAAGCGCTTCCGTCGATTTTTCTTCCAAACTCCACCTCCCTCCACTTTGTCTCTTAACTCAGGTAATATTCCTCAGCGCCCTTCTCTCTGCATCCTCGGACTTCATTTTTCGCATAACTTCACTTGGCACGCTTACGAGACTTTCTTAAGAACCAAAGTGATTCGAGCCGTTCCCTCCTTAAATTTTTTGCTTCTTGTAATAACGGTGCCAGGAGAGCCGACCTCCTCCGCTTAATCTATACCGTTTTTAGTCCGATAGCGGAATTTGGCGCTCTTCTCCTGGAAGGGGCCCCTCTAACCACTATCCGTCGCATCGAAAAACCCGTTCACGAAGCCCTTCGCACAGCCTTGGGCGTGCCCAAGTCTACTCCACTCTTGTCTTTATATGCCGAGTCAGGCTATATTCCACTCCAGTCTAGGCTGCGCCAGAAGGCTATATCACACGCCATCACTCACCTCTCAAGAGGCCACTATAGCCATCTCTACAAAATTTTCAGCACAGCTTCCAGTCTAGACTACTACCACTGGCGCCCCTTCCAGGTCCCGTATGCCTCTAGGGTTCTCTCCCTGATTCGTCAGGAAGGTCTACACATCTCTCACCTCTACCGGTAAAAACACGTACCCCCGAGCCCCGTAAACATCCAACCTAGAATTCGTCTAGACGACTTTCCAAATGCTTCCAACCAACCTCCGGCATCCTTGAATGCTCGTTTCAATGATCTACATTCTACCAACTGATGGTGTTGGACTGTCATTGGGGCAGATGCCTCAAAATCATACGTACGGACGGCTTTCGGAGTGGTTCTTCCGGCTCAAACGGTCAAGGAAACTTGGTCGCTACACACGAGCTGCAGCGTCTTCGGTGCGGAGGATCTCGGCATCCAATGGGCAGTTAATCTCAGTGCCCGTCTTAACACTCCGACGGCCATCGTATCGGATGGCAAATCAGTTCTCCAGGCAGTCGACAACGTAAATTTTTCCTCTGCAGCGGTTATAATTGACCTAGCTGCAACTATCAGCTCTCACCAACACCCCTTGAAATCGGGTGGACCCCTGGTCACGTTGGCATTCACATAAATGAAGCGGCAGACCAAGCCGCTAGTCATGACACTCCTATAGGTTCCTGGTGGAGACCTCTCATGGCACGTTTCGGGAATCGATCATCCGCAACTACACCGATACCTGGTCTACTATTCTTCGGGGAAAAGGTCGCGACCATCTCTGACCTTTTGTCCCTTGGATATACCATCACGCCTCATCTCGCCACACAGAAACCCTATTGGCTAGACTTCGAACTGATACGGCCCCCTTGAACAACTTCCTCTATTCTCGACGCCAATGCGCCCCCCAGATTGCACCCACTGTGGCTCGCCAGAAACTTCCGTTCACTATTGACTTGTCTGCCCGCAATACACACGGGACCGCCAAGAGCTAGGCCGTCTCTTAATCTTGGACCTCACGATCGTCCGTACTTTAACTTCGATATACTGGCCTCATACCGACCTTTCTCTTTGCCACCATATCGAAATCTTGGAGTGTTTTGTTCACCGCACCAACCGCTTTGCCTAGTTTCTAAGCGGAGTGATTCCGAGAAAGCCAACAGGCTAGAGTCTCCATATTAATAAGATAAGATAAGAAAGAAAGAAAGAAAGAACCAAATTATCTATATTAAATAATTTAATTTTACAGAATCTCTTCCGAATCTTATTGTCACACTAAAGTTATTTCTGACAATTTGCGTATCAGTTGCTTCGTGTGAGAGGAGTTTTAGCAAACTAAAATGAATTAAAAATTACTTGCGGGCAACAATGACCCAAATGAAACTTAACAATCTTGGCATGTTAACAATAGAACACGAGTCAACACAAAATATAAATTTTGAAGATATGATTTCCGAGTTTGCAGCTGTTAAAGCTAGAAAGAAAAGCTTTTAAGTGTTTGTACGTAATATGTATATGAGTGTATATTAATTCTACTCTCATTCTTCTTTTGCCATACCCAACTTTCAGTTTCATACATCAATGTGAAAGAATGTTTAATAAAACTGACTATTATTATCATAATATTGTAACTTGATAATTAATGACACTTATTTGTATTAATTAAATAAAATCATACGTTACGTTTATCGGATTTTTATTAATTTTAACAGTTTTCATTCTTGGGGTTACACCACGATATCCGCACCGGGTGCCACCCATGCTAGCTACGCCATTGATTACGCCAAACAAAAAACAGCACGAAAAGGTATTAAGCATTTCTATAAATCTTTTTAAACAAAAATAATTAATATGGTCTGAGTTTTCCTCCTGCGCTCAAACACGTTGTATAGCGATAGCTCATTCTGGTTATAACGTTGTTTATGGGAGCAAAGTACTGTACATTCCTGAACAAAAGCGTCGAAGCTACTGGAGTGTTTTTGATGAAGGTTGACGGAATGCAACTTGTTTACCTAGAGTTTCTCACACAAACCATACTACCACAGACCACCTCTTCCACAATATGCATGGAACTATAACTTTCAGAATTCCTCGCTTTCTCGAGATTCTAATCGTACGAGAATCATTCTATAGACTGGACTCCTCAGTGAACAGAATTTCCCCGTTCATTTAATTAAAGTCTAACGTTGATGTTCTTGACACCATCTTAAAGGTGTTCTGGTCACAAAGAACCAATTGAATGCAACGTGTTATGCGTCTGACCATTCGCCTGAAGACTCCTGTAATCGTGAAATTCTAACGACGGTGGCCTTAGACAACTCTACAGAGATGCGTAACAGACATTCCTCTGCCACGACGTGCTATTAACGTCAAATAGCAGTCTTGCTCAGGAATGGTAATTTTGGACGTCCATTTTCTTGTTGACGTTCAGTATCTCTTATTCTTTGAAATCTGGTCCAAAGTCTGGACAATACGCGACCTTAAAAAATGAATAAAGGAGTCACTCAATCCAGAGCTCATAAAAGCTCTGCATATAAGAGACCAAAAGTTTTCATCCATCAGATAATTTGCATATCACATTTACTGTAGCTTTGATAATACATTAAAGCCTGTCTAAAACAAATAACTCGGAAAACTGTCTAAACAGAAATGTCAATGCGAAATGTCAACGCAGCTTGGCTGAAGTGGTGGTCAATTACAAGTGTGCTGTGGACCGACGCATTAGGCCCGAATCAAGTCAAACATTTATCGAACCGTCGTCCGGCCTGTCACACTGTACGGCGCCGGGTGCGCGCCAACTACGAAGGTCGTCGACCGCCGACTTGCTACTATGGAGACCAGGATGCTGCGTTGGATGCCAGAGGCATTACCGGACTCAACCGAGTACCCAACGTTGACATCAGAGCCCAGTATAGCGTTGCTGAAATCAGCGAGAAAGCACGCGAATGTCGCATGCGCCTCTATGGTCATGCGTTCCGCGCTGGCGCCGATTCCATCATCCACATGGGCTTACATTTGGATGTACCTGGATCTCGCCCAAGGCAGCGTTGGCTGGACACGCTACACCACGACCTGCGGGCCGTGGGCCTACATCCAGACCAGGCCCATGATCGGGCCAAATGGCGATTCAGAATAAAATCCAGGTGTGCTGACTCCGCTGCCAAGCGGGACTAAGGCCAAAGAGAAGAGGGGTTTTCCGATGTTAAATTTTGTTCTAAGCTGGAAACCTGCCTAATGCGTAAACAAAAAAAAATTTTCTTTAGTACAAAGAACGTAATTTAGCCTGATAAAGCGGAAAATTAAAATTCCATCTGTATAGAAAATAAGTAAACACGCCTTCATATGTAACTGTCACTACAGTGTAAACGATTTCAATATTTTTTATAGAAACGAAGATCACGTGACGATAAGACACAGACATAAGACAGACACGAGATTTGGATTAATTTGGAATAAACGTAGTAATAAAATGTTTGTTCGTTTGTAAACGAAGTGATTTTACTATAAAATGAACGTAACTGTGACATTTATCCGGTATAGTTAAAAGATAAAAAGTAAGAAAATTATACTAATATAAAACCTGTTCAAAACGGAAACCTACTAAAGCGAAAAAATATAGATATTGTGCGATTTCGGTTTACATAGGTTTTACTGTGGCATAAAATCATACAAGTAATTCTGTATATCTTGTACAACAGTTGTAACTGGTATTGAAATCAAATTTTTAATTGAAAAGTCACAATAACAACAGTATCAATATCAAATGGTTTATTTACATTATAAATAAATACAAATTATTTCATAAATTATTATATATACAGATTATATATATATATATAGCTTATATATTTTATTTTGTGGTATTTTTATATATCATTTTCCTTCGCTAAACTTTATACAACATTGATATAAAGGCGATGAAAATTAGAATATTGAAAAAATATAACAAGATTACGGAAAAGATAATGTACAAGCAGTTCTGCAAAAGCTGTCTCGAAACTTATTTCCTGAATGATCGGTAAACTGTCCTCTACAAGGAACTTCTGGGTAGTACAATACAATAGGAGCAGAGTTAGCTACACCCAGACCAACGTAACGACAGAAGTTTAAAACCATTCGAGATATTTTTCTTGATTTCTACACAAAAAAATTAATAAAAATTCATTAATATGAAAAATTTTTGAAATAATTTTCTACAATTTTTTACATAACTTTTCCCGTTTTTCTTATATTTAAATATTTATAAAATCAATGTTCCATATTTTCATTTTTCATTGGTTATGCGAAATTGTAAATATTTCAATTAAATAGCAATGTTCGACCATTACGTTAATGTTCCTATACAGTTATGTGTACATATATTCAGTTATTATATTTGTAATTGAGTAAGTCAATATTTTTAGAAAGAAGAATTGATATAAACATTATATATATTCTTCCTCTTGTGGATATATAAATACATTAATTAATATATTAATAACATCTGTAATAATCTAATGGTTTATAATATTTTAATGCAAAAAAAAATTTAAAAGTTATTAGAAAATAAATTAAAAAGCAGTATCTATATTTTATAATAATTTTATATGTATTGTATTTGTATTGTACTCATGCATTTAATAATAATAATAAATAATAGAAGACTCAATCGACATATTACTAGAGTTAATTTAATATTATATTGATTAAATTTTGGACTTTTATGCTATTTACATTGATGTTTTCAATTAACTTTTAAACTATTTAATTGGGGATTGACTTAGGAGACAGAGAGCAACAAAGCAATTGCAGTTAAATAATAATAATTCATATGTTAGCTTCTACATTTTATGCTTATAATTTTTAATTGGTTAGAAAATTTTAAATATTTTTTACTATAATCTGATTTTATAATTTAATTAATGCAATATAATACAATAAATTTGTTCGCTTTATTACTCAACCGCCCATTACAAGTCTGGCCTAACTCATAATAGACCTATCATGAATTAGGCGATGTTTTTTTAAAGATTTTTATTTAGACCTTATTAGTATTCGCAGAAAAAAAGAGAAAGAGTTAAAAATAAAAAATATATTTGTATTTATAACTAATATAGTCAAATTTAGAAAGTAAAAATTAATGAATAATTTTAGTTACTTAAGTAAAATAAATTTTAAAATCAGAATTTTTAAGTAAAATTACCTTTGATTTTCTTTTTTCCTCGGATTGCTTACTTTTCTTAGATTCTTGGTGAGATGAAAAAGTCTGGATCGATTGTGAGTTTTCTTCCGAAGATTTCAAAGAGACATTACTTTTGTCAACAAAATATTTCTTGTTCTCCATATCTGCAATAAGCAACTTCATTTTATAATTTTCCTTTTTTTAAAAGTCGATTTAGTTATTGTTGATGCTAGTTGAATGAAATGACTTTTTTAAACTGTAGTTAATACACTTATATTTATATAAATGTAATTTGTTGAGTCAACAATGCATTACGTTATTTGTTTCCGGTCACGTATCCTGCATGCTCTTGCAAAATTTTTTAAACACAATACCTTATTCATAAATTACATGTAAAATGATAAAAGTATGATTTTGATTTATATCCAGAAAACGATGTTTATCATTTTATCCTTGATATTTTTAGATATCACTTTTAATTCATTATTTTAAGTACAAGTTTAGATAAAACTTTCAGGAATAAATTGAATGAAAAAGACAAGACGTTATCAAAATCCGGCCGTAGCTTTGATCCGGGTTCAAACAAATACATAAATGTAAAAGTAGAATTTAAGTTCATCATCTTATCTGTAATAGCTTTTTATGACCACAATCTCCGTTCTCCAGACATCAAATTTGTTTCAAATTGCCCGTAAATTTTAATAGAAATAATTATTTACATGTTGTACTGCTCTGTGTTAAAATACTAGTGTACCGTTCTTAATTGTAGAATCTATTAATCTAACAAAGAAATTATTATAGAATTAAAGAATCGTTACAGAATCAATTATAGAACTAAAGAAGAAGCTATCTAACAATTTTTATTTATACAATTTTTTGCACTTACAGTAAATCAATATATAATCATCTGAATTTATAGCTCCAAACTATATTATATTATTTTTTAACTTGAAAGAAATCATTACATGTTGTTTTTCAAGTAGCATAGTCATAGCAGAATAAAAATTAGTATTCAGAATCGCGGTTTCCGCAGAAAATTTTGCAGAAAGGACACAGCATGGAGACAAATAATTAGGCCTACATCAATAAATTTTTATTTAAACAACTAAATAAAAATTTATTTAATGTTTTTAGTTTTTTCACAAGTAGATTAACGAATACAGTATTGCATCAATACAAAAAGATAGACAATGATCCCATGGTCGAGAGTGTAAGGTTACATATCTCAATTACTTTTACCATTATAATTTGTGGAATTTTAATCAGAGTAGAATGACAGTGAAGAAATAATAAATTCATTACATCACAACAGACAAAGATCATTGAATATTACGAATTAGAAAATAGCAAACTGGTCTGGCAATTAATGCAAATTGTTCAATGTCAGAGATGGCATTACAACTTACTAATACGCAACATATGTGATGAAACTGTTCTTTAATTATGTATCCTTGTACTGTGATGTAATAAAGGTTTTATTTTTTCATGATTATTTCACATAAAATAATTTGATTAAACTGCACGTATGCTATAAGGTGGGTCGAAATTTTTTGTCACAGAATGTATTAAAACTAAAAGTAGTTTCTTTGTTAAATATTGTATAAATCTTTCATTGTAGGTTCATTCAGGAAGTACCGTACAACTCACAAAAATAAAAGAAGTTATAGACGAAATTTTGGAATATTGTTCCGAATGCAAATAATCATTTCAAAATCGAATGTAAGAGGTGTAATGCGTTTGAATGATAAAATACGATGAAATGGGGAAATGATTAGGCTAATTGGTGCATTAGCTTTAAAAACTATATTGATTTAACGATTTAAAATGCTAGATGAAGTTGATTACTTATCAAGAAGTAATAAGCATTATGTGTAAACGTAAAACTGTATTTTTTCTTTGATAGAAAAAAGCACTGAAGTTTTATGTACAGATCATTTCGAAAGTTTTCATTTAAAAACATAAATCCTTCGATAAAGCTTCCAACAATACAATGCAGCGATATTCACTGTTGATCGTATGTCCTAACTTTCCCAAATAATGGCTAATTATTGGTAATTAGAATACTTAAAATTTTATTTTATTTTTTTTCAATAGCCCACTTCAAATTATTTTTACATCAGGGTAAAACGTTTCGAAAACGATTTATATCAAAAATTCTCAAAGAAAGATCTTTTTGTCCCATTCATTTACTAATTTAATTCAATACACAGGTTTTTTCATTTTTGGCTTTTTCTGCCATGTAGGGACTAAGAGAGAGACCCTTTTTCTCATTGTGGACTCAACTTTAGTTAGGCCTATAATGGGACCGACAGAGTAATAAAACACGGAGCACAACTTATCTGGACCTTCTTTCCCATTAACAATTCTTGGTGTCTCTCTGCCCGAATTTGATCCCGAATCTCCAGAGCTGTAGATTGTTACCTAAAGGTCGATTCACACTATACAACTGGCCAGTGGCAAGCTATGACCGTCAATCGGACCAATAAAAAAAAACTATTGTATTGTAAATTTTCAATGAAAGTATTAACATCAACCGTCACTAATAGTTGTCGATCAGTCGTTGACGAGAAAGTTTTGTCTGTCAGTATTTCCGTTCCTGGTCACATGTGGCTAGTGTAAACTGTCAGTCGCCTATTGTTAAATACTATTGTTTTTGGTGATTGGTATTAATTAATCAAGTTTGGTGTTTTAAAATCCGGGTACGAAGAGATCTTTTCCCATACCAATCGTGGGTTCTGTCAGGCCCACAATGGAAGCGTACGAGTGATGAGGAATATGACACACTGATCATGAAAAGCTCCCGCGAATATGCTCGCTCAAATTCGATTCCGGATTGCTCAGAGCAGTAAACTGATGCCTTAACTACCTTGTCAACCGGCCATCAGTGGCTATAAGTTAATAATTGCCACCAACAAAAGAGATAGTGATAAATATATAAAGGGATAATTGACGGTCTGGCAACGGTCTGTCACTGGCCAGCTGTATAGTGTGAATCAACCTTTAATTGTCTCGGTCATCTCGGCCATCCATATATAAGTTAGTCCAAAAATAATCATCTTTTATAACTTTTGAAAGAAGTAAAAGAGAAACAAAGTACACTCACTGCCAAAAGTTAAGCACGGAGTGGTAAACTGCGAAAAAATCGACAAATACAGCTTCGGTTGACACGAAATGCGGCAGGACAGTAGCAAATATTTATGTTTATGCATGAAACAACACAAAGAATTACATAGAAAGATGAAAACAATATTGAATTTCCTTAAAGTATAAAATGAAATCATATTGGAATCATTAACAAAACGATGTTTAAATCCAAAACAAACAAACAAAACCGACATTAATAGGGTAAATGGTCACCCCCTCATCCTTACACAAAGTTTACAGATTGTAACCATGCTTTCCATGAGGTGATCAGCCACTCCAGAGTCAAATAAGTGCCATTCCTCCTGTAGAGCAGTTTCCAACTCTGTGAGAGTGGCAGGGGGTGGGAAACGTGCACACACGGCATGGCCGAGGGCGTCCCAAAGATTCTCAATGGGATTGACGTCTGGCGAGTACGCCGGCCAATCCATACACGCGATTTCCTCGCTCTCAAGGTAGTCGTCAACGAGGGCAGCTCTATGGGATCGTGCGTTATTATCCATTAAAACGAAAGCAGGACCAACTGCTGCAGCATACAATTTCACAATGGGTTCAAGGACTTCATATCGATACCGAACAGCCGTCACAGAACCCCTCCATAAATGTGCAGGTTGGTGCGATATCCCAACGAAATGCCTGCCCACACGAAATGCTTCCACCTCGGAATGCGTGATGCTCGATGATGTTCTGGGTCCTATTGCGTGTGCCTTTTTCTCTCTATACTCTTACACATTTGTCATCTGGCTCCAGGAAAAATCGTAACTCATCCATAAACATAATGTTACCCCAATCAGACACAGTCCAATTCACATGTTGCCGACACCACTTTAATCGTGTGCCTTTAGATTGGACGGATAGTGGAACACAAACTCGTAGTACCTGGGTATACAGTCCGTTCATGTGTAGCCTTCAGTGCACAGTAGTAGCAGATACTGTTTTACCAATGGCTGCTGCAACCATCGATGTCACACGTGTAGAGATCGCTCTTCGATTCCGCTAGGCTACAACAGCAATATAGTGATCTTCTGCACGGGTTTTACCCCTTGGGCGACCACCCACAGATCTTTGGACAATTGTTTGGCTTGTTTGGAATTGTTTCCATAACCATGAAATGATGGAATGATGAACATCGAAGAAAAGAGCAACATCTGTGATTGAATGTACTGCTTCAAGGCGTCCCACACACCGCCAGTGCTCACTGTCTGTCATTCGTCTTCTGGAAGCCATAGAAAGATGTCAGTCATGCACACTAATTGTACGACAGTTCTCCACACTATTTCTCGGCACTTACATGCAACTCCTCTCACACTTCAGAAGGCTAGCTTCTTATACGACTGCCTGTTTTGCATATTTTGCAACACGTAACCGTGATTGATAGTATCATAACATATTTGCATACTTCCACTTATCTCTGTAGTGAATTGCAGCCTCTCAAATGTTGATTGCTTTTCGGACATGAACATTTTCTGCTCTGTGCTTAACTTTTGACAGTGAGTGTATAAAAAATTATTAATATTGAAAATAAAAATAAAAAATAGAATCATAAATAAAAATTATTATAATTTTATAAATAATACAGCCATTTTAAAAAATCCAGCAACGAGTTACTTAACTTTCTCGATAATAAAGTTAAAATAGTGTATGGCGCCATTTGTTATGAAATTTTATTAAAAATATTGTTATGTTATTAATTATTTTAAAACAGCAAAAAGGTTAATCTCAGAGATGAGTTTTATAAAAGAAAAAAAGTTGTAAATGGTAATAAGGAGTAAAATATTCAATATGTACGATCCCACTAGAAATACGTCATATGAACCCCTTCTATGTTCTCACTTCTTTATCTTTAACCACCAATAATTTAATAGCTTCAATGTCGCAGTTATTTAGCTTCAACTTAAGTGAACAAACTCATGTTCCCCGATACACATACTAACAGTTAGATATACAAAATTAACCCCCGACTTTTTAAAAAAAAAATTTCGACATTTCAAGGTTACCCGAGTCCAAAAGTAAAAATCTTTGGGAGTCATTTTTTTGACCGATCCCTCTACTTTCTCTCTGTTATATATAAAAGCCGGGAAAGTGAAACGAGTGGTTAGTTTTGCATTACCCTGTATAAG